ATCCCAAACTTCTAGAGGAGAGAGGTATTTTGACAAATGATGGCAGTGTTGTAAAAGGAGCTTTAGTTGCCATTTCAGGAGACAACCTGGGATCACATTGCATTGGGGGTTTTGTCGAAAACTTTAGTCGGACGAGCCATTTCTGATGCTACTGTGAGATCAACAGAAATGCGTATATGAATGAACCATACACTTGTGGGACTTCAAGAACTGCAGAATCCTATCAAAGTTATTTGCAAGGTTTAGACACCAGTGATACTGTGTCAGTATGCGGCATCAAGAAGGAATCAAACTTGCCTTGTTTGTTGGTCACTTGGTTCAGAAGAAGCACTTTACCTACTTACAATTAAACAGATGTAAAAACAAATTCAAATATCAAGGAAATGATGCCAGCAGCAAACCAGCAGACGTGTCTCCTGGTAGCGAACGATTAAGTGGACATGCAGTTCAGAACTGGTGCTTTTTGAGGTTACGACCTCTTTTTGTGGATGACAGAATTAAAGATCCTTCTGAAAATGACGTATGGCAACTCATTCTGCAGCTGATAGAGATTGTGGAGCTTATTTGTGCACCAGCTATTACAACAGGCCAAGTGGCACATCTGAAAGTCCTCATTGAAGAATATGTCTTCAGTCATCAAAGGCTTTTCCCTACCAGTCCGTTAAAACCCAAGCATCACTATTTGTGCCATTACCAACAGCTTATTCTTCACTTTGGCCCACTTATACGCCTTTGGATGTTACGGTTCGAGAGCAAACACGCTTTCTTCAAGCAGTGTGCCAGGAAATTACACAACTTTAAGAATCTTTGCAAAACTCTTGCAGAAAGATACCAACTGTTGCAAGCCTACTTGAGTGCAGGTAATCTCTTCCCTTCAGCTGTGCACGTTGAAAAGAGTACAGAGTTTTATGTGTGTGATTACAACGACAGGATCAGGGTATCTGTAGCTGGTCAAAATTGAGTCACAGTCTGCAGTAGCTTGCAATGAAGTCACAGTGAAAGGCACAGTATACCAAAAGGGGATGTGTGTTTTGCTTGAGAGTACTGATGGAGAGATGAGTGACATGGGTGTCTATTGTGAATTAGGAGTAGTCCAAGAGGATTATGTTTCTCTCCACCATTCTTTTCCAGAGGCAGTTTGAGCTGGCACGTGATGTGACAGAAGTAGCTGGAATAGATGTAACAAGTGGAGCAAGCTGGTTAGGTAAAACTGCATACTAGGGATGCACGATTAATTGAATGCGACTGTCATGCACATCTTGTCAGTAAAGCCGGCTCTGTGATTAGTAGTACAAGAGGATTATGTTTCTCTCCACCATTCTTTTCCAGAGGCAGTTTGAGCTGGCACGTGATGTGACAGAAGTAGCTGGAATAGATGTAACAAGTGGAGCAAGCTGGTTAGGTAAAACTGCATACTAGGGATGCACGATTAATTGAATGCGACTGTCATGCACATCTTGTCAGTAAAGCCGGCTCTGTGATTAGTAGTAAATCTCCATGTGCTTTCAGATGGAGCAGCATTTACTAAACGGAGCCGTAGTTCATTGACAAGCTACGCAAAATTGTGTTCATAATCGCAGATGATTTAATCGCGCGATTATGAAATCGAAGAAATCGTTCTGTGATTATGAAAGCTGTTTGCGTTGCTTGACGGTGAACTACGGCTCTGTGTAGTAAATGCTGCTCCATATGAAAGCATGTGAAAATACCACATTTAATAACATGTTTTTACTCCAAACTCACTTCATAACGTCAGTCGAGTGTTTGAAATAAATCCCTCTGTGAGATAATGTGGCTTCTTACACAAAATAAGGCACGCAACATATTTCATAGTATTCTAAGCAGTGATAAAGGCTATGTCGATTAGCATTGCATTATTATATACTTTATTATAATAAGACGAATTCAGATAAACCATATATTGTCGTAGTCGTGTGTTTTAGTCACGTTGAATTAATCAAAGCAGTTAAATCTTCTGTTTATTCAGCAACCGCTATAGGGATTTCCTGGGTTTCTTCTACGGGGCGTATTTGGATTTTCAGAGCGAGAGAGCGCCCTCTGGCCTTCAGATGGAGATTTACTGCTGATCACAGAACCGTGCTTCACTGAAAGATACGCATGACAATTGCAGCTTTTGCCTAATCGCGATTTATTGTCTTTGCGATTTAAATTCCGATTAATTGTGCAGCCCTACTGTATACACAAGATGTAAATGTCAGGGTTTGGGTAGAGAAGCGGTTTCCAAAACTGGGGTGCGCGCACCCATAGGGGTGCACAGACCGACCAGCAGGGGTACGCGAGAGAATGCTTTTGTTGATCTGTGTGCATTTTTTGAAGGGGCAAGTGAAAGAGAATTTTACTTGCCCGACCGGACAACTAATGTAACCTAATTAAAACATCGAATTAGGGAAGCACCAAAATTTCAGCGAGAATAATTCTGATTTTATTACACTTGGTGTAAACGGCAATTCATAATGGATAATCAATAGTAACAAGGTCGCGGCAGTTGAGACTCACGTGAGACAATCTCATGAAGAAATCGAAACAAATGAACACAACTGCACACAGAAGAAACAGCTTTTGCCTAATCGCGATTTATTGTCTTTGCGATTTAAATTCCGATTAATTGTGCAGCCCTACTGTATACACAAGATGTAAATGTCAGGGTTTGGGTAGAGAAGCGGTTTCCAAAACTGGGGTGCGCGCACCCATAGGGGTGCACAGACCGACCAGCAGGGGTACGCGAGAGAATGCTTTTGTTGATCTGTGTGCATTTTTTGAAGGGGCAAGTGAAAGAGAATTTTACTTGCCCGACCGGACAACTAATCTAATCTTATTAAAACATCGAATTAGGGAAGCACCAAAATTTCAGCGAGAATAATTCTGATTTTATTACACTTGGTGTAAACGGCAATTCATAATGGATAATCAATAGTAACAAGGTCGCGGCAGTTGAGACTCACGTGAGACAATCTCATGGAGAAATAGAAAATTAACACAACTGCACACAGAAGAAACATACCAAGGTAAAAAAAAAATTATTTTTTATATTTATTACATAAAGCCTAGCCAAATTAATTAACATGACATGACTAAGAGAGTGCAGTTTTCCCCAAAAATCAGTACGATTGTAAATTCGACATTGATTTTAAACAAGACTTCAAACGAGTAGTTAATATTAAGTGACTTAGGGCATACATTTTAGTACAATAATGTCAATGTGACTGTTTTTGCTCGATTTGTTTAACGAAAATAGTTCCAAAAAAACTGCATCTCTGAGCAACACACAGCGTCAGCGGTGTTTCGTTAGGCTACTGAATGATTCGCATTTTTGAATTAATAATTTGAGTCAATGATTCAGTGGTCCATTCATAAAGACAGGCGCTTGCTTCATTCTTGAATGAATCAGCCGTCTGAATGAATCGTTTGAATTCCTCAATGACTCACTCATTAAGACAGTCAACTTGCTAGCGGGATACTTTCAAATTTAAAAATAACTTTATTTTTTATTTTTTTACAACTTTTCATATTTGTAAATAAAAAAAACCTGATGTAAAACACCAAGCTCACAGCATTATTTATGCTGTTGTAATTTTTCAGTGTCAATGCATTCATGCTACATTTCAGCTTCGTTAAATTGTCTGTGTAAATGCATCTAAATCACACAGCGTCAGCGGTGTTTCGTTAGGCTACTGAATGATTCGCATTTTTGAATTAATAATTTGAGTCAATGATTCAGTGGTCCATTCATAAAGACAGGCGCTTGCTTCATTCTTGAATGAATCAGCCGTCTGAATGAATCGTTTGAATTCCTCAATGACTCACTCATTAAGACAGTCAACTTGCTGGCGGGATACTTTCAAATTTAAAAATAACTTTTATTTTTTATTTTTTTTACAACTTTTCATATTTGTAAATAATAAAAAACCTGATGTAAAACACCAAGCTCACAGCATTATTTATGCTGTTGTAATTTTTCAGTGTCAATGCATTCATGCTACATTTCAGCTTCGTTAAATTGTCTGTGTAAATGCATCTAAATGCCACTTCAGCTGCTTCTGTTTCTCCAGCAGTGGAAAATTTCATTTGATTGGTAAAAGCCCTATGGAGTCTTATTATATTAAATGAAATTATTAATAAAATGTAAGAATTTGATATGAAAGATGACACATGCATTTAATAAGGTTAGGGGGAAATGCCCTTCTTATAGGCAAAAAAAAGACCTGGAAATCAATTCAAATAAATTTTAATATGCAGTAACTTTAGTCATATAAAATGTAATTTTCCAGCAACAAAATTGTGGCCAGTGAAAATGCTGAGTGGCTAGTAATTTTGGAAAACCACTAGCCACAGTGACTGGTGAGCAAAAGAGTTAATGTCAAGCCCTGTATACAGTGAATACTTGTATTGCAGTAAAAAATGTTTATCCGGAGTACGGTGGTGGGGGTGCTTGACATGTGTCAAACACTAGAAAGGGGTGCACGCTGCAAAAAGTTTGGGAACCACTGGGGTAGAGGGATGAGGCGGCAAGGAAGGGCAGGGCAGGATCAGGACAAGGCTGACAGGACACGACAGGATACATGTGATGACAAACTGGCAGGGGACTGCAAACACAAGGAGAATAAATGGGGAGCAAATGAGGAGGGTAACTAAGGAAACACAGGTGGGGCAAATTAACCAATAATCAGGTAACAAGATGGGTGGGGTCAAGACAATTGACATGAGAGCTCATAGCACACAGGAAACAAAGACAAAAGCCATGTGCTCACACAAAACAAACACAAGCACATGGCCAGCAAAACAATCACAAGCCATGTGCTTGAACAAAACAAGACATGAACACGCAGCTAATGAGAATACTCATAAGCCGCGTGTTCACACAAGACAAGACAGCACGCAGCCAGCGAAAATCAAGCTGCGTGCTACACAAGACAAAACAGGACATGAAAGCATGCAGCTGATAACACAAGCTGTGTCTGACCAAACTATCTTTTCAGAAAATGGTTGAAGTAATCATGAAAGAATTGGTGTTGTCATTCTTACCGGGCCTCTCTGATGAAACTCTGACTTCACTGCTGAATGGGTTGCAAGAGCTTGGTGTGGAAAACAAGGAAGACCTTGCTTTTGTACAAGTAAAAGATACAGAGAAATACCTTCAACCTATTCCGTGTCGAAAGTTACTGAATGGCTTTCAAGGGAACTATATTTTGATATTGTCCCATGAAAAAGTTGAATAAATTAAAGTTGAATGGAATAATAATAAATTAGAATAAAATAAAGTTACAATTAAAATACATAGTATGCATAAAATCAAGTAAAATAATATTTTAGAAGAATAAGTGCAAATATAACATGAATATTTGTTTTATTTATTAGTGGTTATACAACAAATAATACAATTGTCATATTTAATCTTTATGAATAATAAAATTCAGAACAAAGATGCTGCGTGTCAAATTATGAAGAAACAAACCTGCATATTGAAAATGTTATGAAAATCCTTCTCCCTCTCCCCAGAGATGAATTCATTTTAACTGTGCATGATAAATTACCATAATTATCTTTACCCACCGCCATTTTCTCCTGAGTAGGGATGGGTATCTAGAATTTTATTGATACTGTTCTTATCGATACTCAGATATTGGGTTATTTCTCTATCAATAACAGCATTGGTTCTTTTTCCTTAATAAATTGCTTTTTAAATAATTTTTTTTAAAAATATAACTAAATGTTTCTAGTGCAGCAACAGAAAAGTTAACAACTGCAAAGTCACTATATAAACCAGTGGTCCCCAACCTTTTTTCCAGGGGAACCCTATTTTAACATTCAACATTTTTAACGACTCCCAATAAAAATAAATAAATAAAGTTAAGTTTTTAAAAAATGCAACAACAGCACAAACATTAAAATAATGACATTAACAATGATGGCTGGATTAAAAAAAAAAAAGGTTGGGTGACTACAATATAACGTTATCTAATAAAATGTATTACGTTAAACCTCACATCTTAGATTATAGGTATTTTATCTGCTCTGTTAATAATTCTAGATACTTTATTATCCAAATTGTTTAGATATTTTGAATGGATATTAGCTTATTTTCTATAAACCAGTAAAAATTTACAACAGTGCATAAAAATTCGGTTTACAAGAATCTATGAAAATTTAAGATGCCAGTGTGGAAGCTCAATAGGCGCATGCTGCTCCCGCTCTGAATATGCACAACTTCTGTGCCGCCTCCGCTCTGCGTCTACACAGCATTTTGCGCCCTTAAAGGGCACTGCAGAAAGGCAACAGGACAAAAAAGACGTTTTCGTATTGTTTATTTGCAGGCAAACATTTTTTTCGAACATTTTAGCGACTGCCCCACATACATTACTTACGGTTGAACAGTAATGACGATACTACTGTTTAAAAAATACAGTGGCACCGCCAGTATTTTGGAGCCTTAGTATCCTGATACTACCGTAGTACCTGTAAACCGTGCAACCCTAGTAATAAGCACCTGACTTTTCTTTGTGTGTGTGTGTGGAGGAGCTCAGCCTGACACAGACAACAGGAGAGGCTTCAGCAAGTGTAATACTTTAATAATTTAATATTACTTTAATGATTTAGAGGTGAGATGTTACCCAGTTTCAGTTCCCATCCCTGCAGCGTTTGTGAGTGCCTGATTGCACTGTGCATGTGCAACTCTCCACAGAGATTCTTTAGCCATTTCCATCATCAGTTGTGTGGAAAAAAACAATGTATTTAATTTTAGGGATGCACGATATATCGGCCACCATATCGGTATCGGCCGATAAATGCTAATTTTAGATTTTCTTGCCCGACATGGCATTACTTGTTTGGGCAAAAGGGCATCTTTCTTTCTCTCGTCATGTAATAATCTGTTCTCGTATTTGTAGAACTTGCAGTAGTTCAACTGGAACTTGTTCCTGTCACTTTCCCAACCTTCGTCCCCAGATCCTTGAACACTCTTTGCACCGTACCTGTCAGCTCCCCATACACTCAAGACACCGTTTCTCCCTCCTTGCAGCTTGGCAAACCATGGCATGCAGACTTCCAGGTCAACTGGGATAGGATGCCAGCAACAATTCAAAAGGCAGTAGCAAATAAAACAAGACCATCACCAGGCAATAGAAAAGATATGGTGACGGCAGTGGTTGATCAGATCGTGGAACATGAACCTAACCCAACCAGAGCAATTTGTCACAATATTGTTCGAAGCATTGTAAGGAGCCATCCGGAATGTTTTGCTGATGTTTCAAAAAATGGAGACATCCTTGGAGACGGTTGTTATTCTCTTCTGCAGCAAATAAAAACTAGGGTGGAATATAAAAACAGGAACAATACTCTTGTGAGACGACGCAGAGCGAGAAGGCCACAAAGTGAGATACCAGATGCAGGCAGAGGTATGACAAGAGGCCCTGTAGATCAGTATGGCTGTGTAAGATGGAGTCCTGTAGAATTACCTCCTGGCAAAACTGAGGCATCATTAGATGGCATCAAAAGTCATCTCCTTAACATCTACTCAGAGGAAGGCATGAGTGGTGCAGAGAGAGCTGAACCTCTGATGGAGAAGACCTATGTCATCCAGCGACGCTGTCTTAATAGTGTACCTCTACCAGCCATTGCAGTGGTTAAGGAGAAATGGCCTTTTCTCTTTTCACTAAGAGGTATTTTTTTTCCCTATTCCATCTTGTGAAGCACAAGGCTCATTGCATGGGTGGAATTTAACTTAACAAAAGTAACAGTATATTAAACTTTAAGTTTCCAGTCAAGTTCCGCTCGTGCAGTAGTTAAAACAATGCTGTACTTATTCGGTACACATGCGTACCGAACCGAAAAACCCGTACCGAAAATTTTCAATATGAATACGTGTACCATAACACACGGTTACAGATTTTGCTATACCATTTATTTTGCGGTACACAAATATATCCGCGTAGTACTACTTAAAAGTTATATACACCTGACTTAATGTGACAAAGATACATGCATGAATGAGACAATAAAGAGTGGGGTGTGCTTGATGTTAAAGAGAGTTATTAAGTGCAATATGCTGTGAAGTACTCAATGCATACAGCCGAAGCGTGCATACAGAAAGCACCTCTCTCAGACAGCATGCGTGCACAATGTTTAATAAAGTTATTAAAGAGCAGGTCATATGGGTTTTTGAAAAATATCTCTTTGCAGTTTATAACGTAGCTATCCTTAAATGAAAACAGTCTGCAAAGTTGTTAATCTCAAAAGTGCATGATCAATAAAGATATTGTTTCTCAAAAGAGTCGATTCTGAATCGCCTTAACGAGTCGTCATATTTTCGAATCTTTTCATACGTCGGTATATGTCACTGGGTAAAACATTTGCACAATCCCCGCCTACCCGCGACTCTGACCTGCCCACAAACACTTCCGCTAGTTAGTGTGTTTACATGTTGAGAAGACGCTGTTTTCAAGTATACCACAGAAATACAATTTGAACCTTTTGTTGTGTGCATGTAATTTTACCATTGTTTTAAGTGTTTACAGTTTAGCAGCTAAACTTTAGCTGTGGGCATGATTCGCTTGCATAAGTGTTTTTGTATTTTATGCCATTATTTTAAGAACGGATTGGAGCACTACATTATTGTTTTATGTAAAGGTGCTTTGTCAATGGTAGCGCTCGCTAACTTGCTCAAGGGCTCCTATCTGTGCCAATCACAACAGGCTTGGCCAGCTGACCAATCAGAGCAGAGTAGGCTTATGGAAGGTAGGGGTTTGCACCGAACTTGCTTGGAACGAATCATTTCGAAATCATTGGCAAATGACTCTAATATTAAATGCATATTCTGAGAAAATTACAAAGTTTTCTGTCCTTAGATGCATTTAAACCTGTTGTAGAGGACTCCATCACAATATTAGGACTTTAAAATACCATATGACCTGCTCTTTAAGCACAAAAAGCAGTAGAAAATAACTTAAAATGACTGCACCATATCTGGGATATTATAGCTTCATTACAGTCTATGAGGGGAAGTGGAGACGCGTAGTCCATCTTTATATACAGTCTATGGTCGCCAGAGTTTGTCTGTTTTAAAATCCATATTGCCATATAAGTGCCGTCACTTATAATCACAGCCTTGGATCGTTTTTGAATGAGACTTGCATTTTACATTTTTGATTGAGACTATATTCCACCCATGCAACAAGCCCTTCACAAGATGGAATAAGCACAACATCATTGAAATATCCAAAGAGCACCTGTATGTAATTATCACAAAGACTTTACTCCATTATCTCCAGGTATTATTTCACACTTCACTCTGTTGACCGATGTCTCCATCCTCGTGAAGTTTCGAGAGGCCCTGGATAACAAAGGCAACACCATTCTGAAGTTTTGCCAAGAAGTCAACTCTCATCAAGGGGTGAAAGATGTTTTGGCTTGTTTTGAACCTGAGGTTGCCTGCATTCTTCTTTTAATGGCGTACTTCAAAGAGCCCAAAAATGCCATTGTGCTTGATGTTGATGTAAGTATATTTTCATTTTCACATTAGCATTAAGCCTATTGTTTGTTGTAAATGAATTGTACTTGTATAGCGCCTTTCTGGTCTTCCGACCACTTTTAAGTGCTTCACACCAGGGGTTTTCAACCTTTTTGGACATGCGCCGCCCCCCTAC